CAGTAGGGCCAGGAAAGGAGAAACGTACCAGTGGCAATGCTGATGCTGCCGCATCATCAGCATCATTGGGGGGCTATTCTGCATTTTTGTTGGCCTGTCTGTGCCCCTTGGCCTGTCCTCTATAGAGCCCAAGTTCTTCTTGGCCCAGGCCCCTTGGGCAGGCCGCGAGGTCAATCCATGCTGATGATGTTTTTTTTCGGGGGCGTCTGGGGTCCCTAAAATCCTTCAGAGATCCTTCCGTGCGCGGAGGAAGCTTAGAAAGCCTGGGTGGAACTGAAACTGCCTCCGGGGTGGCAAAACAGACACCAATTGCGCTGATGATGCTCTCGTACTGGCGCCTCGCGCGCGGGTGATGGTGACTGTCGTGGCTGCGTTGGCGCCGACGGTGGCGCGTAGTGGAGCCGTTCACGTGGTGGTAGCGGCGGCAACACACGACGCTGGCATTTGCGGTGCTGTCGCGGCTGCGGTGGCGGCGGCGGCAGCGGTCGCGGGTAGTGGAGCCGTTGGCACGCGGTGATAGCGATACTGGCATTTGCGGGTGGTGGCGGCAACATTGGCGCTTACGGTGATGGTCATGGCAGCAATGGTATTTACCAAATTTTGGCGAACTACAATGGTGTCTACCAAATTTTGGCAAAGTACAAGAACTCATGTTTCTGACACCTGAACCCTGCTTTACGAGAAAAGGTGCGCCAGAGCTTAGTTTAAAGTACCCTTATATGCGGGAGGTGGGTTTCACCTGGGTTCACGAACTTGTATACTTTTGTGCCCTGTCGCGGACACCATAAAACTCTCAGTTTATCTCAGTTTATACATTCTATCAAGCAACAAAACACGTCCATGTATCCACAGTCCAGGAAAGGCTTAGTGGCCTGCTCCCTTCTACAGACACCTTGGACTTTCAGCCTTTCAGGCAGCTTTCGTGCTCGACCTCATTGCGACGTCGAAAATGGGGGATCTGAGCTTTCAACTGGGAATACGAGTAAAGAATAAAACCTTCACTTGGGTTCTTCAAGCTTCCACTGTAGAAACTGCGGAACTGCTTTCGAAGTGCAGAAGGCATTGCAATACATAGAACTTCAGTATGTTTACTACTCGCCCCGATGTCCGGTATAAACCGTCTGTACTGTGAGCCGACACGGTGTCCCGAGAGGTACCCAAGTTCCTTGACTTACCACACCATTGCAGCAACTGACCACTGGTTCTTCTTGTCTAGCCAAACCCTAGAAGCAGTACGCACTCTTTTGCGCATGAGCTGCATGGATATGTAGGGCTAAAGCACGATCCAGCAACAAGGCTTGTTTGGCGGGCTGCATTTCGAGGCGTATGTTGAACAACCTTTCCTTACGCGAACCCTTTCGTGTGCCTTTCATGCTCTGTTCGCGCACGCTATTTTGCCATTTTAATAGCCCAAGAATTGCCGCTCGCATAATTTTCAGGATTGGTTTCTTTTAGCGCGCCCCAAATGGCAAGGGAGAATAACCGAGCTTGGAATTGTCACCAGTTTCTCTGGCCCCTGAGACAGACTCATGCCAGCTGAAGCGCACACACACCTCACAGGAGGCTGCCAAATCATCGACACATCAGCATTCTGTTGGTGTCCGGTATCTTCAAGATTCCCTCATTTAACAATGCCTGCACCCTAAGAGCTTCCAGACTGTGCATTTGAGCAGACTGCTATGGGGTCAACTGCGTCAGGGGAGTGGGCCTGCAACCTGTCTTCAGTGACCCCAAGAGCAGAACAACGCGGGGAGAGAATCATCAAGGGGTCCAACAGTTGCACAAGGTTCCATGCATGTTGCTTGGACAGGCGAACCCAATGAAATCGCACATGTGCCACGAGGTGCGGCTGCAGAATGATTGCAAATTCCTTTGGCGTGTAAGGTCCAGGCACTGCTGCTATAGAATCCATTCCGACCCAGGCAATCAGCGTAAGCAAGGTACTGGCAACATGCGCTTGGTGGCGAGACGAGATTTTTCACCAAAACCATATGAACTTCTGGCATCCCGGACGTCCTCGGAAGATTTTTGAAATTCTCTTCCACGATCGCCCCTGTTCTGGGGTTGGTCTTCAGGAATTCATCCTTTGTGATCACCTCCACACCTGTTCGAGAAGCGTCCCCAACAAGCCAGAACACGCAGAGACACGCTAGTGAAGTGCACTCACATCGCAACCTTGGCGCCGAGATGCTATACTTGAATACTGAGCTAAAGTACTTCGGAAACATTACGGCTCTTCTATGCCCAGACCGCGGCCTAGACAAGCAAAAATGTAAAGCGTGAGGCCAAGGATGAAAAACGTCGACATGATGGCGTTGCCAGAGGTAATCAGACCATATACCAGCCGCCACACAGTTCTGAACATATGTAGCATTCTGACTGCCTCGGTGGCCACTACTGGACTTGCATTTCAACAGCGTGGGCTTTTTGTGCTCAGTGCTCCACTCGTACCAGACGTAGAAGCCGAAAAGAACGAATGACAAGTATCTTGTCAAAGAAGGTTGCCTGGCCTGGCACCGTGAGCAGCCAGTGCCCTGCGACTTTGTGGCTGAGCTAACTTTGCATGTCATGAAGTTGCAATAGCAGCCCCACGACGTGTGTGCAAATGCTTTCTAAATGAATCGGCACTACTCTGCAGTTGTTAGAACTGTTTTGGCTGTGAATGATGTTTGCAGCATCTAGGCGCTGGCCTCACCTCCAGTTTCAACAGCAGCAGCAGCAGCAGCAGCAGCGGACCCCTCCCAGCTCCATGAATGGCCTTCGGCTGCTGATATGCCCTGGATGATCGGATCCAAGATGATGAAGAAAACACCCATGCCAACCAAGGAGAAGTCAAAGAGAAACCTCAGAAGCACTGCTGAAAACCTGATAATACGACATCGGTATCTGACTGATTATAGGATATCTGACGAACCCCTCCAAGACAAACCCAGCTCAGTGCTTCTAAGAGGGTACAAGTGCCCAACATTCGTGCTGTTGTGGCTGTTTGGGTAGTTAGTTTGCTTGGAATCCTGTCGCTCATCTTAATGCCACAGCTGGCATGTCTGCAACATCTCACTGCTGTGTACGGGTCTGAGAACACCACCAGCCATCCTTGAAGCAGCTTCTGCCATAAGCAGTGAGGCGGATGCTGATTTCAATCACATAGATGACTATGAAAACGTAATCGAGCTCCTGCTGGCAGCGTGCTGGCTTAAGAGTCGCTGACAAGTATGCAGGCCAGCTTTGCGTGTTTGTTGCTCTTTTAGTTTATGGTAAGGCTGCGGAAGTAGATCATCAGCCTGCCTTCCCAGGCCATGTCGGCAGCCACTCATTCTCGATGGAGTTCTCTGTCTCAATGCCAATAGCGATGGAGTTCAGGAAGATGATCATACCTGCAGGGATGTCGCATGCATCTGATACGTAGGGCAAAGAACCAGACTCTTGATTCTCATGCAAGCCTGAAGATCTACGTTTTGTATTGAAGGGCATTCACGCTCACAAGACAAAACAAAGAGAGGGCGGGTCAAGGCAGTTGCATGGAAAGTGCAGCAGCAAGGTGCAGCTGCATGTACGGCTGTTGTGTGTGTGTGTGTGTACTTGGTATTGCATCCAATGGCTGCTAGACTGATACAAAGTATCGAGCGATTGGATGCGCAGCCTGCAGAGCCATCGAATTGCCGGATGAAGCAGCTCAGGCACTGTCACCAAAACCCTCCGCCAGCGCCCACACCCCCAAACCCTCGAACACCAAGGATCCCTGATCAGGCAGTACAGTGGCTTGGCTTTTAATTAAAAACATTGCATTGCATGGCATTAAATGCTGGACGAACACATCAGCAGTTTGGCAACCCTGCGCCCATTGTCCAGTCGAACTGGGGCTGGTTGAGGATCCACTTGCACCATGCTCGTATCGTACGTGAATCTTCATCATTCTCAGTATCATCGCCGCTTATCAGGCTGCCAAACTTGGAACCTGGCATGTTCTTTTCACACACATGTCCTCGAGATGCCCTCCGCAAGACAAAGCCAAGCATCAAGAATCGAGGCATTACAAGTTTGAAAATGCTTGCGCCTTAATCCTTAATCAACATGGGCCCCCACCTTTCTCGGTCAGTCTCGAGAGGTCCGTCATGTCGTGCTTCCTGAGGTCCATTTAGAGGCACACTCTTGAATAAGCATGCATCTATGTGGATCTGTGGTCATGGCAGCTGCTGCCCAAGAATCTTCTTGGGATCTGAAGTAAGGGGCAGCTTTACCTGTGGCTCTTGGGCCTCCTCCAGCGGAACCAGCTGGGCCGACACAGCCAAGTTGTTCGCTGGCTTAGCCTCTGGCTCTGCATCCTCTACAGATCGCAGCAGGGCATCAATGGCTGCCAGCGACTGCTCCTGTAGCTCAAAGAGTCAGCCAAATGCTCTCTGCTGCTCTTACAGGGCGAGCGTACTTCAAAGGCTTCAAATGGTCCTGGCTCTCTTTCAGGGTCGCCAGCGCTGCACGGACGTCGCCCATAGACAGCTTGCCATCTCGAGCGGGCCGCGGCATGCTAAGGCCCAAGGCCGCGCCGATCGGCTGGCTTGAAGCCCAGAAACAGCTCAAACAAAGAGGCAATCATGCAGACATGACAGCACGTGAAACTATGTCTGCAAACTTTGTGATGCCTCCGGTTATTAAAAAAAACAACATGCAAAAAGATCTGCGTCAAGGCCTCGAGGCCGCGACGGAGCAGTGAGAACAAAGGCCTCGGCTCCTGTATCGAGCGGATCGAGCTGGAAGACTACCTGGCAAGGATCAAAAGAGCCTCTGCCATGCTCTGGGATACAGCTGTGCTTGTGAGGTTCAGGCCCAGCCTCGATCCGTGCCAGGGGCGACAGATGCGAGGGCTCTGGCGGCGGCTCTGTGGGAAGTTGCGTGACAACTGACAGGGGCACAGGTGCCTGGGCACGCCACCAGCGTGGGGCAGGCTCCCATGTTGCAAAGCACAGTTGACAACTGAGCTCCCTGGCACCATCGTTCGTACTGATGATTTCTAGCACTTGCGTGCTTTGATTGTAGATCTGCACGGTGATGTGCCAGCCTCGGACAAGGCTAGATTAGAGCCGCCGGCAGTGTGAATATGTGTGAATACCCACCCTGCCAGAATAACCCCTAAACACTTAACGCCGAAGAGGCCGCAGCTTAGCTTAGTTCGTTTGTAAGAATCCGTCGGAGCCGTTCTTCGAGGCTTGCGCGCAGCTGCTATCCGTTTTTTTCAAGTGACTCTCTTCGAAAAGTCTTCCACGCTGGAAACGAATCTTCAAGCTAAGACAGGATATAGGCCTGGGATGGGCCACACCCTCCTGAACTGTACATAGCAATTAGCCCGGGGGCTTGATTGAGGAACCATGGAAGTGCTATGGACAACATGGGCATATCTGCATAGAGAGCTTGGACCCGAGCGCTCCTGAAGGAAGTTTGTTCTGTCCTCTGGTGTGCGCACCTGGCGCAAGGTCTGCTCCAAGTAAACCGAAAAGAAAAATGCACACGGCGGCCTGGAATATGATGCGGAGTTTGCTGGTGACAGGAGCTGCCTCATTGATTCCAAGCACCAGCCTCAGCTGCGTGGATCGAGGTCCATGGTTCTCATGGTCTAATCCTCCCTGGAATCTCGGGAGATGGCGTGTCTGCAACACGCGCTGCGTTTGCATCACCTTTGCAATGAACATACGACGCTTCGCAACTAGCAATGAATGCTAAAAACATGGCTCACACATGCTTCTGCATGCTGCTGTAGCATGGAGGCTGCATCCCTGAGCTGCCAGCTCCGGTCGAAGTTCCGAAGCATGTCTTCCCGCGTTATGTTCCACTCGCAGGCTGAAGGGTGAGGCAAGTACATGTCCTGAATGATAGTCCCAGGTCCGGCTGCAAATACAAGCAAAATGGGAATGTAAGAAATCCAAAGTCGCGGGCCTTGGTCATGTTTGCGGCGGTTTCGTTGTCTGGGTCGAAGAGGCTCCGCCTTCGCATGAGTAGCTGTTTGGGATCATGCCTGTGAGAGCTTCCGTTGCTGTGGCTGCCATCACTGAGCGTAAGGCATGCCCGCACAGTACCACTGTCCAATTTTCCGTTCCATGTTGACCTGCAGACAGGAGGCAGGACCGCTGCAAAGAAGCGAGTGGCTTCGTTATTTGCGCTCGACATTTGGGCTTTGGCCCCATCGTCGTCCAGCAGCCACAATTCTGCCCCCTCACTGAACCTCAGAAGCTTGTCGGGTATTTGCGGCTTCTTAAACACACCCCTAGCCGAACACTGTGTGAAGACTCCAGCTGCAAAGCAGCACGTGGAATCTGGGCGTCTGGCAGCTTAAAGCCATCTGGCCCAGCACCTGGCTCAAGGACTGCTTCGTAAAGCCGGGATTTGAAAAACATGATGAATGCCCAAAGCGAGGTCCTTGTGCTTGGAGCACCAAGTCAGCGCCAGCTTGGACAGGAGCAGTTGATGTCATGTCAAAGAACAGGTCCTTGGAGCAGCATGAACGGCCATGATACACGACCGGCACGCAGGAATGGAAGGCCAGAAGGTTCTGAACAAGGCTGAGAAAAAGGGCATGGACTCGTGTCTTGGATTTAGCTTGCGATGCCATTTTGGTCTCTTGATTTTCCCTGAGGCATGCACAGAGCTCCTACCAAGAATGGCAGCGTTCTCCCGGCCAGTTTGACCAAAGGCATTGTACACCTGCAAAGCTCTGAAGCACTCTTCTTGACTATAACAATGGATGTGCTGTCATATGTTGTCATACTTGCTTCGTGAAAGCACTTGATGCAGGCTCTCAACGATCCGGCAATCTGCCTCCACACGACCAGGCACCAGGAATCCCTTCCGGAACCAACATCGGGTGGCAACAAGCCAGATTCTGGTGCTTGCAACACAGTCTGGGCAAGGTCCAGACTAGGGAGGGCCTGTAAGTGCACCTCGTCCCGCTTGTATGGAGTACCCTCCCTCGGACAGCATGCTTCTGTATCAGTGGTAAAAATCAAGTTTGTCTGCATCAGTGTCTACAAGAAGTCCATGTCGTGGGAAGTCCAGCAGTTAAGGAGTGTCACTGACGCCCATGCCTTTTGAGGTAAACCACTACAGGTTGTGGCATGATTGAGAATCACTACAATCACTTCCTTTACCTCATTTGGCCACGGTGCGGGTCATCCTCTGGCAGCTCCCATGTGGACAGCAGCCACCGCGAGGGACCTGGTACCTGGCTGTAAGAGAGCATGCTGCTTAGACGTTACTGGTTCTTAGAAGGGAATAAGGGAATGTATTATATAAGGAGTATATTCCCTGATTCCCTACTAAGAACCAATTAGCTAAACATGGATAAATATTGATTTCCGGCAGTTTGCAGACAATGCCTAACTGGTGCAGGTAATTGTCACTTTGCGAGTTCTGCCATTATGCACCATTTAAGCTGTTCAAAGACTGAGAGAACATCAAACAACGTTCCTGCAACCGATGAAACCAGGGATAGCATGAAATCCCAGGCACGCGACTGAATACGGCCCGAATTGTCACGGGACTGTCACCTAAGGATAAGATTAAGTCGCTCCCCCACAATGTCTGAGATGGGTGATGGAATCTACCGTGCCCTGCCCTGCCTCTGTACTTACTACGACACGAAGATTAGCCGCTTTGAAAGCCTCGCCTCAGATATTTTCACGTCTGCGATGGTTAAGGCGATCTCGTCGAAGCCTGAAGATAGGGTCCGTTTGCCATCATTTGTATGTCTATCATTCTACAAATGACAGGTCACTAGTTGAGGCTTGGAAGGTAGCCAGATTATTACATGCCGAAAGCAGAAGGCATGTGTTGGCAGACTGGTTGCAGGAGCAGACCCTAGAAGACTCAGTTCAGCACTGTCTGCCAGGATGACGAGGCGCATTTCATCCCAGGAGGACACGAGAATCTGAGGAAATGTGACCGGAGTGCAGCACCCCTACTTGCAACTGCCTATTTGGTGGCGCTGTCTGGCGATTAACAGGCTGGCACGAACCCGCCTGTGGTATGCTCCTTCTTCCGCTGATGTTCGCCACCGCATACGATTCCTGGAACTCGAAGCCCAATGGCTCCTGTAGAACAGGATTGTCTGCAGCATTACGTCGAGGAGCCAAAAACCGTTCTTATTCTACTGCAGCATGCTTTCAGCGGCTCCAGCGCATCGATTTGGAGCTCCGAGGCGCTCTGCACGACCGTGAAGTCTGTAGCAAACAGCAGGATCATGCAAAAGCTGTCCAAACGGCATGTAGATCACTACAGAGCCACGTCGTTACATCTTGCGACCTATGCCCGCAAATCTAAAAATTTACTTGACTGGCCAAAGACAGCAAAAGACGCTGCAAAACAAAACAAAAAAACTGAGGCCAGCGCTAAACTGGATGGTCGTCACTGTGCCTGGCCCCTTGAGATTGCCTATGCAGCGCAGCGCAAGCTAGAACAGCGCGCAGAGAGATGCTGTGCACCATAGCTTTGCACCAGGAGCTTAGCCAATGATTGGGGGGCATGGCTGCAAGGGAACCAAAGAGCAGACTGATCTTTTCGCCCAAAAGTAGTTCTACCCCACTGGTTCTCTCACAGGCCATGGCCTATAATTCCAGAAGCCGTATTGAAGATCACAGGGATGACCTCAGCGCATGTATGTCAAGCTTGCACAGAAGTGGGCATGATAAGCGTTGCTGCCTTTTTTGCTGAGCCTCTGCATGAAACACTATCCCACGCCTTCTTTTCATGTCATGTACTGCAGCCTGTCCATTTGCCGGCACTTGTAGCAACGCCGAGCCGGCTCTGCGCAGAAGAGCTCCGGCTAATGGGCCCCACAGTTGTCGGAAGCGCGGCAACTTCACGATCAGGCGGTGAAGAGGTGTGGCTGTACTGAGCTGCGTCCAGGTTGTAGACATGGTCACGGGCTGGCAGCGTGAGTCTGGTTGGTTGATCCACACGAATCTGGACTATGATGCAAGAAGCGCATTTGCATGGGAAACAGCCATCTGTAGCTAAAACGCACTTGCTCTACTTGTGGAAGCTCAAGCCACATTCCTCCATGGCAGTTGGCAGGCTTTCCAAGTCAACACTGTCCGCCAGCATTTGCTGGCCGCCATTGGTAAGAACCAGCATTGTCAGCAACGCCTCAAAGGTTTCTGCTGCTAGTCGACCCATCGGTTCGAACTCCAATGCGTACTTCTTCCGTGCTGCAGGAAGAAGAATATAAGTAAGAGTTTGCACTTCGCTCGCTGCAGCGTACAAGCCATCAATCGAGCCTTTCTGCGCCCGCTGGAAGCGGAAAGTATGCTGCTGTACTGGAAAGGAAATGGAATCCCATTCCTGCATCCAAACATTGCTTCGTGCATGGATCGTGAAAGCAGCAACAGGAGTGCGAGCCAAGCTTCTCCACAGCTGGACAGCAGCCGAAGGATGAAGCGCGGCTGCTGCTCGAGCCACACTTGGCAGCTTCCGAGCTCCTGAGACCACGAGGAACATCGCAGCATGCGGCACATGGAGTGCAACTAAGCCATTGCAAAGCAACTCTTCTTACACTTGCCAAGGATCCTGCCACACTGGGTCGCTGTCATCGACATTGCAGTGGAGGCGACCTGCGGCCACTGCTCTGCCCTCTGCAAGTCGACCAAACTCGAACTCTTGCAGGAGTCTGTAAGCATCTTCTGCTGCAGCCTCCAGGTAAACGAAGGGCGACTTTCCAAGCCCTGGGCTTCGGAGTTCTACCGTAGCTAAAGCTGCCTGCAGAGCACTCAGCGCCATCGACACCTTTGGCTGCAGCTGAAGAATCCTTGTTGTTCCTGACATACAACCAAAATATCCCCTGTCTTGTTCTTAGCGATATATAGGAGGCATCCTGTCAAGGTTAATGAAATGCACCATTCCAAGACACAACTAGCTTTGCATTCTTGTTAGAATTACCAGATACAAGGAAGATTAAGGAACCCACAACATCTTCAACAAAAGTTCGAGTTAATAAATCGTTCATAGGCAATACAGGCAAAGTCTTCTTACTCTAAATGTGAGAATCCGCTGCTTGCGTGTTAAGCCGTCTGTCTTGCTCAGAAGCCAGGTAGTCCAACCTGCCTTGTCCTCTGGTCTGCCCAGCTCATCATCATCGCGCTCAAGAACATGTTCCACTGCTCTCAGGGTAAAGCGGATCAAATCTATGGCCGGCTCCAGCACGCCGCAGGCGGCGTAGCGCGTGGATAGCTGAACAGCTGTCTCAAGTGGAGCCGTGACTGAGTCCACCAACTTCCAAAGAAAGTATCCATCCTCTTCGATCTTGGCAACATCTTGGAGGAAGCTGACAGCTTTGCGCGTGGTCACTGCCGCGTTGACAACAATGGAGGCGCCAACCAGCATGATATCAATTGGCTGCAATCAGGTGCTGCTACCATCTGAGAGGGAAAGATACGATTGCATTTGCCGAACGCCTGTTCCCCCTTCTGTGGCACAAGGCTGAATAGGCGAGCCTACGATGTATCATCCCAGTTTAAGTCAACAAGCATCCATTCCACAGGGCATTCGACACCTGGGAGAGCTTACGCAGGCCACATCGAACAGTGAGCCATGGTGCCGGATTTTCTGACCAAAGTTTAGTGCTGGCTTCCTGCCTGTTGGATTGGTTGGGGAAAGTCCGGGACCCTGATCCAAGTGCTTGCACACCAACGCTGAGCTCCTGGCATCCCAAGATGTGGCGATGGCGGATGTCTGCAACTCTCTGGACCCACTTCCAGCATAGTGTTCCAGCCTCGGAAGGTACCACTACAGGCCCCCAGCTATTTCTGGAATACTGGCACCATCAACTCCAGCTTATCACCCTGCTGTGTCGAAGGATGCTATGCTGATTCCTTGCAGCACCTATAGCTCAAATTTTGCCCGCACCGTGTGGTCGGAGAATATTGAGTGCTTCGGATCACTCGCCATCGAGCTGCTTGGCACCTGTGGGCTTGGCATGGTTTGGCCGACGCTGAAATGCCGGTTGCATTCCAACACAGTACCTAGCCCTTTGCCGCCTGTCTTGGTAGCTTTCTCCACAGCCCGCCAAACCTTCAGAGTTCGACTGTCTTTGAACTCCTCAACGCTCCAAAAAGTATTCAAAGCATGTCCAAGTTGTTTGCGCTTTCTGAAGCCGATCGTCTAGCAGTTTACGCTGAGTTGAAAGATGCTGCTGGATGATGCTATATGGTGCTTAGGCCACACTACGGGGTTGACGGCCTCAATCACCTAATGCATCGACACCAGTCTCCAAAGCTCGTCCTACTTGCCATTGGAAGACTGAGAGAGTGCGCGACAGATGCGATCAGCAGCAGTGTCCTGGGCATCGAGCTTCAGCGCGGCCTTTAGCGCTGCCTGCCCGATGGCTTTGTTGGTGCTTCAAGCTTGCAGAACGCGACAACAGCACGGTAGCACCTCGGAAGCGAAGCTTACAAAGGCGATTCCCTTCGTGCTGCCGCCCTGTGCAGGGACAAAGCAGAAGGGCTTGCCTCCCCTGAGAAAGTCATGCTGCAGCAACAGCATTGGCCTTCTGTGGAAGCGTAACCATCCGGATCTGCCCACAGCTTCCAAAGTGCTCCTCAAGCTCGGTCCTGTCGTCACAGGGAGGTCTGCTGTGCGTTGTGGACTCAAGTCCACTACTGCGCTTCAGAGTGACCTCACTTTGCACATCCCTAGCATCTTCCCACGGCCCACACACGCGAGCGACAGACCAGCACAGCGGCATCATGACATGCCTCGTCGTGGTCTTCGGGAATCCCTTGACCACGACGCGGAACCTGCAATGCGGCGACAACGCAGTGAAAGCTTTTCGCTCCAGGCCAAGGTGCAATGCCATTTGGCCCAGGAGCTCCCGCTTTGCCTTCTCCTTTTCTGCTTGCTGCTTTTTTTGTTGAGCTTGCTTTTGGATCTGCTTTTCATCCGCGGCGCTCTTGGAGTATTTTTTAACCTGTCCGCAAAAGAAACAGCATGGCACTTGCCCACAGCAGTTGCCGGAGCTCCAGTTTCCGGTGAGGGGAGGGACATGAAGAAAGGTGACGCCTGAGTGAATGAACTTGTCCATGCCCTCTTTTTCAGGAACTGGATGTGGATGGGTATAGCAGTCTTCTGATGTATTGATTGAGAAGGCTCCCAGACATGCGTTGACAATGTCATGGGCACTCCGTACATCAGACAAGCTGCAACTAACGTATTCCCGTCAAGCTTGGTGCCATTTAGCTTCATGGCTTTGCCAGCAGACTTCGACTCGTCGAACTCAACAATGGCAAAGCCACGAGCGGCACCTTTGATTTGGTGAGCTACTCAAGCGAGCCGCTCAGGTCACTTCTGTATGAGGACACGCTACAGCACACCTGCAACTCAAATATGGCAAACGACCAACAGAAGGGAATGTGCCCAAGTCATCCAAAGCTGAGTCGTAGCCCCTTCAGTAAGCATCATTGCCTGAGAATATGCCAGCCAAGCATCCTTTTGATTTTGTTGATTTGGAACTTGGCACGGATAGACTTGCAATGCTCCCGCACCTGTCTTGAGCACCGTGGCCAACTGCTCATTAGCAGGCTGGGCAAGAGCAGTCCAAATACATTCTGGGCACTTCATTCGGGCCTGCTTCATTTAGTTCGTTGCCGTCGTGCTATCAATGCAGACCCCCAGACAAGCCACAGGTCCAGTAGGTCAGGGCTTGCTAGTGGCAAGTCACAGCTGTGTCTTCGCATGATAGCATGACCGCTGCCCCAAGCCTTTGGCGGCTTTTCTAAATTACTTCTACCGCGTCAACCTCTAGTACCAAAACTGCAGGGCAAGACCAGGATCAGAAGGACACCTTAACAATGTTTCCTCTCGCATCCTGCTCAACGGACTCGTGACCCTGCAACATCATGGCCATGGGAGGTCTGCACCGCCTAATTAGGCAGAACCTGTGCCTTATATTCGTGACCTCGTTCGCTAGCTAGAACGTCGGTTCGGCCAGAGCACTTTTTTGAGAGATGCTGCTTCAGCGCATCCACAGCATCCGCATCTTTGCCGAAACCTGTCAGAGACAAATGACTCCAGCCTCACTGCTCAGGTCAAGCAGGGCCACCACAGCAGTAGCTTTGTAACGGCCATGCATTCCCGCCTGTGACGAATATTTTCGCCTTTCCGGAAGACGCCTGCAGCCAGGCTCACATCGCTACGAGTGCAAATTGTCGAGGTGTGACATGTGAAAGGAGTTGCCTCGGGGGGCACATGCTCTTTTGTTGGAGCATCTTCCTTGGTTCGTGCCATTCGGACCTTAGCCACATCTGAGTGCTTCCAGTAGCTGCACTGCAGCACGCTCAATCAAAGTCCGTCACAGATGTAATATAGAAATGCGAAATGCCAAATCTGTTCTTCAGGATGTCAGCGGCAGCTCAAAGGCAACTTTGCTCTTGAGTCGACCCTAACTCTGGGCTCCAAATAAAACACCACTACACCCGCCAAGGACTTGCATTGCTTGCAAGTTGGCTTCAAGTGAGTCACTGTGATCTTGGAGTCTTGCAGATCGCCGTCTTCCGCCAGAGCCGCCTTCACTCGTCACCCGTGACTCGATGCGATGCTCTGTTGAGAAAACTTGCCTCAGCGGCGTCCGGCTCTGCAAAGCCAACGAAGGCGATTCGCAGAGACTTGTTTCGACGGTCAGGAGGAAGGTTGATATCCTGCGGCAAGGCCATGATGAAGAGCTTAGAGAACACAGACAGTTATGTTGCACTTGATTCACGAGGAAATTCTAAAAAGGGAGCCGCCATCCTGTCTTTGAACAAGTTTCAGCTCTTAGGCTCGGTCCACGACAGTGCCATACTTCGCGAACTTATCTCGGATGCTGCTCTCCGGGCAATCCCGGGGAACACCTCCCAGCGTAAGAGCAGCAAATTCCCCTTCTACAGCCACTGTTTGCGCAATTGTTGATGAGGAAGCTTGCCTGAAACGTAAACACGACTGGCAGGTTGCTCAGGCGCAGCCTCAGTCGAAACCTGCACAGGGAAGCTGAACTGGCTTAGCTTGCAAATTCAGCAGCCAATGTCAGCACCAGATGCAAAGCATTGTAGAGCCGCACCAAACGGCAACATTCGACCACATCAGAGTAGTGGAGCGTCTTGAGCCTTCTTCTTCTTGCTCAGCTTGCTTTCTTTGGCAGGCTTGGCCTCGACTTCCTCTTCCTCTCAAGGTGCCATAACCGTCAAGCAAAACTGTCGCGAGCATTGCAAGCATTGCGGTTTGCAAGGGATACTGTAGACCATGCAGGGACAGAAAGGATAGAGCATGTCTCCGCCATCCTCTTTTGATGCAAGAGCCTGGCCTTTTGGCGTGGCACTGCCGAATCTTTGGGGATGTGTGGCTTTTGTATAGAACTTGAGGCCTTCGAATCAAACAGTTCCTGCTTATGTTATTCGAGGGCCGGCAGGGCATAGTTCACAAGGCTTCGATGGGGGAGCTTGGGTTTATTTGTTCTCCAAACTTCGCCTTAGGAAGGATATGCCCCGTGTCCCGAATCTCTGCCACTAAGTATTGCATTACGTCGTCCAGCATCCTGGGGGCAAATGCAAGAAACTTTGTTGCTCACGTCCGGACTCCCTTTCAAATCACCAAACCTAAGGTGCAATAATGCACTGTATTAGCGTCTGGGCAGACCAGATCCTGCATCACATCATGGCACGGTCGCTTGGCAGCAATGAATGTCCTCCAGCGTCTCACGTGACCTCTTTTTGCCCTTTACCTGGCCACGCTTTCGTCAGAACACGCAACACATGCTTCTGAGTACCAAGGTTGCACGGCAGTTCCTAATCCCGGCCTGTCCGTCATCAACACGCTTTTCCGATATCTTCAGCATGGCAAAGGCAGTAGTCGTGGGGCTGGGCACTTATTATGCTACAAGGTGCGACAGAGTTGCAACAAGCTGCTGTGGCTGCAGCATCAGCTTGATGGAATTATGAGATGATGTCTTCAGTGATTAAAGTATGCTGATGGTGCAAGTGCGGCTATGAGTTGCTTGCGGCAACTAGGAACGGCGTTGTTGGAATAGCAAGCACTGAACATGGACAGCTGCTCCTGGTGGCAGCTTTAGTCAAGGACCACGTGCGAAGGTCAAGGCTCGCCTGCCCTGGAACTCACGGAATCAGTCACCTAGCTGAGGCTCTGGCTTCCAGTAGTTGTATTCCGCTGGGGGTGGTGACTGCGGATTCCGAATATTCAGCCTCAGTTCAGTTTGCAGCTTCTGGAAGCCAAAAGATGTCAGCCGTGGACGGCAAACCGAAAAGTAGGGAGGCACCTGATAAGGCGGAAAAATGGGGAGGTTTGCTTCCGCATGTGAACTTTGCTGGAGGTTGGTGGATGCATCTCTGCGCAGCATATTGACAAGCAACGCTCCCAACTCCCAACAGCTTTTTGTCCCTTAGGGAACATTCAAGTTGTCCGCCATGGCAGTTTTTGCCGCGGATCCAATGTGCGGTTGAACCTCCTGTCTAGCGGTGGAAGTGTCAATGGGAAAAGCGGATCAAAATCTTCGATCTGCTCAGCTGCACCTGGCTTCACGCGTCGGCGACGGAACCTAGCTTGCGTCCAGGTTTCGGGCAAGTACTTTGGATGCTGCATGACCGATGTGACCTGGGCACTAATCGGTAGGCTTACTGTCATGCTCGCAAGTGGAGGTATTGTCGGCACGGTACGACTTAGGGAGCTCATGTAGGAAGACTCCCGTGATGTCAGGAGGGTGCGCCGCTGAGATAGGGGATCAGCGCGCCAAGACATCAAAAGCTCACACATCTTCAGACTGTCTGATCTGTCTGGACTACCGCTGTTTGCACAAAAGGCAGCCTGGAGAGCAGTGCAGCCGGCCAGATTGCGTCCGTTTGGATCAGCTCTGGCCTTAAGCAAGAGGTCCACGGCCGGAGACTGGGCCAAGATCGCCAGACGTAACGGACTCTCGCCACCAGCACCTTGCCCTGCGGTAAGGTTTGGATCCGCATGCGCATCCAGTATTGCAGAAATTGTAGCGTTGGACAGCTTCTGAGAAACGGCCAAATGCAAAACTGTCCTTCCAAAGCTTTCGCGTGCATTTGGTTCCGCCGACGCTTCAAGAAGGCAAGTCAGCAGCGTCTCATTTTTGGCATGTGCCGCCACATGCAGGAGTCGAGTCCTATCGTCAGTACTTGGGCTCGCGACAGCATCAGCATTTGCACGACTTGCAAGCAGCGTAGCGTGGATACCTGCCTCCGGAATGCTGGCTGTGTGGAACAAGGGTTGCACTCCAGCCACATCCGGCTTTGAGGCGTCACATCGTGCATTCAGCAGCTGCTGGACCAACGGGAATGGCGGACGCCCTGTGCGCAGAGCAGAGACCAGGGCAGTGCGCCCACAAGCATTCGTTGCATTGACCTCGCAGCCTGGACTTCTGAGCAGGGCGGCCAGGATCTCCTCGTTGCCTCGCTCAACGGCGATCTGCAGAAGAGTTTTGCCGTCTGCAGACTTGGCATTGACATCAGCTCGGTGTCCAAGCACTTGTACGAGGAGAGGCAGCTCTGCTCGACGCACGCAGCTGACAATCATCATCTCGACTTCGGGGGGTGCCCTGCCAGGACCGTTGATGTCAACTCGGCGGTTCAAGAGCTCGTCCACTACACTAGCCGTGTAACGGTTGGAGTACCTCACTGCTGCATACAAAAGACTCTGGCCAGTCAGGGGGTTGTGTCCATTGAGCACATCAACGAGAGCTGCATCAAGATCCAACGGAACATACCTGAGGAGCATGGCTGTAAGAGGATAGTTGCAGTTCTTCACGGAGATGTCCAGGGCACTGGGATTGGGCCCGTCCAATGGACGTAGATCACGGCTGACAATAGCAAGGCAGGCTTTGCCCGGCTGCACAGTGCACGTTGTTTGGTCCTGGCCCCAACGTTGCAGCAAGGTTTCCACATGTTTGACCTCTTGGTTCTCCTCCACCAGCGCCCGCAAGCGGACTGCCAACTGTTCGAGTGATGGCTCAAACACCAAAATGGCAGACACGACAGCTGCTTTCAAGTTCTCCTTTGCAGGCTGGAGGTCACGAAGGCTATCAGTTCGATTGACTTTCTTTACCTCCTCACCCAACGCTTCGTCAGGCTCCGGACTGGAACCTTCAGCTTCCCCTTGCTCGCCTTTGGCTGGCTCTGTCAGGTCACCTGGCTGTACGAAAGCTACGGGAGCCGCAGGTCCGGGCAACCTCTCGTCATCAACAAGTGGCATCGGCGCAGGAGCATTTGCCTTCTCCACATCTGCTACAGCCGTCCCCTCCTGCCAAGCTCTCTCTGCTCCGTCCAAAGAGGCTTCTGCACCAGTCTGACTCTGCAGAAACTCTGTAGAATCCACTTGGATTGGCCCTCCTGCCATCAGCGTGTCTGCATCTGATTGAAATCGAGGCTGCAGAGCGGAGGTCTGATGAGCAGCATCGTCGTGTGCACGTTCAGGTGAATCACCACGGCCTACATGGAACATGTGCCAGCTGAAAAATCTCTTAATCGAAACAAAGCTTTCCGGATGAGTGAAAGAAACATCTGAATTTAGAATGTTAGAACGTCATGTTGCAGGAATATGGGTCAACATCCAGGCGGGTAAATGTTAAGCTCCGCCTCACACAGCAGTGCCAGTCTTCTGGGCTGAAAAATAACATTTGTCAACTTCAGGAAGTAGAACCAGAACAAAGGCCTGTGACACGATCACACATTTGAACATGTCGCTTTAGAAGTGAAACCTGCCGTGGGCGTCTTCAATCCTTGGACTTGCAAATGGCCTGCTCATTCCAGCTTGTCTTTGCAGAGCGCAAATGTCTGGCATGCTACAGCAACCTTCCCTCAATCTTCCACGCAGTGAATGTCGTGCAGGACAGGGTCTTGGCTTCGTAACTGCTGCTTCCTGGGGCCTGACCAATTCCCATGAGAGGAAGCCTACTTCAAAATCTGGCATGCTGGCATTGCAGCTCAACACTTAAAGCATTTGATTAGTTTCAGAAGGGGAAGGGCGACGGCTACCTGCAGCCTGACCTGGCTGTGTCCAGCATTCTCAGCATTGCTCTCCAAGAGCCTTCCAGCCCCGAAGTGTTCGATCCTGATCAAGATCTTGTCACATTGACGTGTTCCCAGGAATTTGTACTCGCTTCCTGCAAAGTTCAACGAACAGAAGCTAAAAGCCCTCATAGCTCAAGGCTTGTTTAACCCAAAGGCCAGAAGCCATCCTGCCTTCGTACGCATCGTACGCTGGTGGCTCAGCCACCAACTCCGAAAAAAACTCGGAGTCATTGGTCTTTCCGAGGCCACTTTCGCTGACTGTGGAGTGATCCTCGGCTCTCAAAGAGCTCGGAGATTCCGGAGCTGCTAGGTCCTGCCACTCCTTCTGCTCCTCTTGCTTCAACGACGGTATCGGTTCCAGCCTCATATCCGAGACGGCTGCATCCCGGGACAAGTGTGGCTTTGCCAGTTCGGTCATGCGCCTTAAAGCAGTGAACTCTGGGTTCACCTCTCGCTTTGCTACTTCTGCAACAGTGGCCCTGCGCTCCGTTGTAGAATTTCGCCGCCGTCCGGGGCTGGCATTGAGAGCCGGAGGGTCATTGACTTCCCGATCTCGGACATCGTCCAGCACGGCATTCACATCATCGTGCATCGCAAGGACAACCTTGCTTGGAGGCCGCTCATGTAGCTCAAAGGTAGGAAATCCAACATCATGTTTCAGCAGTAGGAGGCTGCAAGGCAAGGTGACGCGCTTCTTGTCACTCACTAGAAGAAGTGGAGCCGCAACGTCCTGTTCGCCTTTTGTCCAAGTCTTGCGCTCATTCTGTGCCTCTGCCATTTTCCGCAGCTCGGTCTGCAAATGCTCGTACCATGTTAGTGGTACTCCGGGGTCCACTTCGCCTGGAACGTCTTCTGGGGCTTCTGTTGACATGTCTTCCTGGCCAGCATAGAAGAGTGCTGGATGCAGGAGCAGAAAATTTACCAGAAGGTTCGGGCTTTCAGCCTCGGCAGCCGTTCCAAGTACTCGAAGAGATCTGGCACGACAGCCAATGACAAGTTGCAGTTGTTTGTGTAGCTCAGTTTCGAGGTTCACTGGCCAACCCTTCCTCGGCGGCCGCAGGGACAGCATGCCACCCACTGCCAGCACAAGCATATCGTGCGACACTGTCCCCGCTGGCCACATGTAGTTCCCAGAGAAGGCAGGATTTTCTGACTGATCTGCGCTGGATTCCAACGTGTCATCCAAGCCAGAGTCAAAGGAGCCCACTAGTTGATGCTCTGGACGACATGTATGCTGTGCCAGCGCCTGCTTTGCTGCAAAGGCCTGAGAGCCGGGCACGAAGGCTGCACAGTCACGGCAAACAGAAAGCGTTGGGCCCTCCTCAGACACTTCCGAGCCTATCGCTGGCGAACCGCAAACGTCGCATTGGCTCCGCTCGGTCCTTGCTACGAAACTCCCGGACCCTAGGACTGGACCTACAGCAGCCTCCAGATAGCAGCAGCGTTCAGTAACCGCATTCAGTCGCGCCCAGCTTTTCGGGGCGACTGCTAAGCTGCTTCTCCATGTGCCAGTTAGGTACGCTGCAATGTCCTCCAAAGAGGCCCCGGCAATGCGCCTGTCGAGAGCTGGGCCTCCTAAGCGTCGAATACAGAGAAGCGCCTTGTGGCCCAGAACTGAAAAGAGCTGTGCTCCAAGTTGCTCATCCAGGATCTGCGCATCCACTGAGTCAGGATCTCCCGTGCGTGATTTCAGCGGTGGAACCATTGACAGCTCCAATCTAGCTCCGAGTTCAAAGGCTTTGATATAAAACGGACACCTTCTTGAGGCACGGCGGCCAAAGTCTGCAGTGCCGGGAGGATGATTGAATTCCAACTTTGCTGCCGGAAGGACCAGCATCATCGAAGCCGTGCCCTGTATGGTTTGAAGAAGTTCGGACAAGGACAGCTTCTGCGGATCCACATTAGCAGCTAGCTTGGTCAATCCGGGGCAGAGCCAGGTAGTGTCTCTTCGCCCATGTTCAGTGTCCACATACATGGGGACCTCCGGTTCTTCCACTCGACAGAAACTCGGGAGAAGCAATGCTTCCCCACGCTGACCAAATCGATCTAATCGATAGACGCTGCCACGGCCCCTGGTCCACGACGAAGCCCAGCGATGGCCCTCAAGGCGCACGAACTCTTCAAGCGGCACCAGCTTCGTGTCATGGCCTCACAATTACTCTAAGGCGAACAGCAGGGCTTTGATGGCTGCTATGCTTCAAACAAGAAAGCTTTTTGCTCTCTTCATTGCTGCTCCTGCCTCCGACAAGGTCAATCACTTGGGGGACTGGCAGTGGATCGTGGCACATTGTCAGCGGAAGTGTAGCTGGAGTTGTCTCTGAAACCTTTGCATACACAAGTGCTGACTTGAAAATGAGTCAATGGCTTCTGCTATCGACACAGTCTCTTGCTTTGTGGTTTCTGCTACATGTGAAGGTTGCAGCTGGCATGCATACTGTACCAGAAGTCCGCAAATGAAGATGAGAAGCAGAATCTTGCACCTGTTGTCCCCACCAAGCTGACCATCTTGCCTGGAAGGCATGCCCAGGCTGTGGAGGCTGAAGAATTGCTGGCAAAGGGTTAGTTTACCGGTAGAAGCCTTCCAGTGTCCTCCAGGACCCTCAAGCCGAGCTCCACGGCCCAGCAATAGGATGGTTTGGAGGTCAATCATCTGCAGGCCGATGGCCAGCTCACCCTGTTCCGGGCACAACTACTGCTTGTGCCTGCTGTGTTTCATTGCGATGGAGACCTGGCCCCGGCCTCAAGAGCATCCGCACCCTGTTGGAGAGCCAGCTGCCGAAGCCGCGCAACACGGCCCTCGGCAGCGCCGCCAGGGCCCAGACGGCGCGCCATTGCCGTCTCTACATTTTGCCCTGGCTCAAACCTAGGTTCAAACTTCTGAAATGATTGGAATCCAGCGGCTGTGTTCATCCGCTACATAGACTTCGCAAGATGAGCTCGTTTGCAGAGCATAAGTGCTGCTGCGATGCTCTACACTCCCTGAGTTTCTCCATCTTGTGAATCAGAGAACCCACATGAATCTCACATGAAGCAAAAAAAACATGGCAGCTGAAGCTTCGCGAGGCTTTCTTAAATTGTCTCATCGGCAATGCTGGTCGATTGTCGACGCCGCAACGCAAGCGCGAACAGAGACGATCCTGCATGGCCCTGGGTCTCGCACAACAGACGGCAAAGCTCGCCGGACCTTCTCAGACAGCTATCCAGCAACAGTACAGATCTGCTGTCAGCCTGAAGTCTGATAAAGGAAAACTGCTAGACTGTATGGAATCTAAACTGAGGCTGCATCTGCAATGCTCTGCCAAAGTTGATGGCAGGAATCGTCATGACCTTTAGGAAAGCAGCTGCAGGCTATTGATGTCAATATTGGGGAGAGGTGCGGTGTTTCACTCCTGCCTCCGCGGCGCAGTATGCAGGTCGCGTTGCCTCAGGCTCCAGGCCAGCGACCTCGGCAAGCATGTAGCTTTAGCTTGACCCTCGAGAGGCACCGCGAGGCCAGGGCCACGAGAGGCAGAAGGATGCTTCGGTCGATGCACGAGCCCGGCCTGTGGAAAGCAGATGTCGCAGTGTCTTGCAGTGTCGCTTCCCTGTGCTCAAAGCGGTTTTTTGTCAGCCTGCACGGAACTCGCCAAACAAAAGCCATGCTTCAATGGCAGAAGACTTAGTTCGGCTTCCGAACTGCTGCTGCAAGGGTCTGCTGAGAACTCAATGCACATTGGCCATAAACAACGAGCATCGAAGATATAGGGTGACACGCATGTCCTGGCTCCCACGTTCTTCGGGATTCCGGACAGCTGCTGATTTGGGAGCTTCGCATAAGTAATACAGTATCAACATGAGCACGGTTTGGACAAAGCTCGTCGGCAAAGTATGACAAACACATTGGCTCGGATTGTGTAATCTCCCAGCAGCGGGCAAGACCAAGGCTGGAAGCGAGTGGTGCCAGTGCTGCAAAAACAGTTGGTTGCATTTATGCCAATTTATGCAGCTATGCTGGCATCCTCTGCCATGCTTTTCTGGGTTCACAAGTTCTTGGCACTGACCACTTCCCTCATTGCTGCGAACGAGGCACACGCAAGCAGGCTTCATCGAGTTTGCCGGAGACACTCCGGAGACACGCACAGCTGACTTATAAATCGAAACATTGCACGGGGCAGCCGTCTCATTAACACAGTAAAACAGCTCAGGAGTGACTGGGCATTTGTTGTTACCACTGCTAGCGTGAAGTAAGGTGCGTCTTCAGTGACAAAGCGTGCCTGCGGCTGAAAGAATCACTCGTCCGGATGCTTGCAGACGCACTCAACGCCTGACCGCTTCAGGTATATGGCCGCGGCTTCAGGTTTATCACTTTCAAGGGGTAGGTTTTGTATGCAGTCCATTCAACTCCCCACCCTCCTCCTCATAATCCCCTCTGCCTGCGTTTGGCTTCACGTCCGGGACAGAGCTCAGCAGCGGCCGTACCAGACGCCCTGGTGATACGCGCGAAGGGGGAGCGGGCGCCTGCACCATGCAGGTGACATCAGCATGTCAGGGTATGTTGCATGTTGCGCCCTGATATGTTCAAACCCAACTCGACTCCCCACTAAGAAGCTTGAGATACGATCAACCGCGCTTTCGGGTTGCTAGAGAGGCTAGCTAGCCCTCCAAGAGGATTGCATGCCTGTAGGCGAGTCGGTCCATCCAGAGGGTTTCCCTCGCGTGTCTCCTTGCATAGCACAGTAAGCTTTGCAGCACTGGACACGCTTTCAACCCACTACAGTCCTGAGCCCGTCTGATGAGAAGCTCAATGCATATGAGGAATCGCTGCGCTTCTGCCACTTCCGCAAAAACAAAGGCCAGCCTTCATCGTGTCTGGAGCGCCCAAGTCAAGATTGGGTTCACAGCTCATAACTTACAACGAGGGAACAGGCAGACATCTGAGGGACATGTGCCTGCTGGTTTCCCTCTCTGTAAGACCTTGCTTCAACACCAAGCAACTTTCGCCGCATGAACTCCACCACCACAATGTGTTCCTTGCACGTAGCCCAGGCATGTCGCAGCAGCCATGCACGACCAATAGCTCTGGCTGCAAGCAAGGCGCGACATTGACAGAGGTTGCAGATGAAGTTGTGCTGAGTAAACGCTCATCAGTCTTCCTTAAGCTGCGCTGCGGCGCTACTTTGCAAAGGCTGCAGCGACAGGCGGAGCGTGAACAAATCTTCAGGTGACGTAATCTGGCTCTTGTCTGGTTAAGTTAACCGCCTCCTGCTTCAGAAGCTGCAGACAGTCTCCAAGGTTTCTCTGAACCTTCCCAAGCATCCTCTCCCCGCCCACCACAAGCTGTTCAGGCCAACTGGCTCTACCCTCCAGCACTTGCCTGCAACATCTGCCCGTCTCGTCAAGCTTTGTATGCATGAGCATCTTCTACACCACGAAAGCAGCCGCTGGCTGAACATCATGCTTTGGCTCCGTACAGATTCGGGAGATCTCCCTGCTTCACTTTTGGTTCATGCAGATTGTCACATAATGTTGACCGTCGGAAACGCAAGCAGCAACGGAGTCAGAGTCGAAGCTGGGCAAGGCGCGGATTTGAGTATTTGAGTAAGCAGTTGCCTTGAGAATACGCTACGCTTTTGCCGGCCTGGCCTCAGATAAGGCCACTTGGACATGTGAACACACAATTTAGCGTTACCAGAGGCAGACAAGCATCACAATGCGGTAGACCTTCGAGACGCCTGTCAAGGGAAACTCGATGATGCATCCATTCCTCGGCCAAATCAAACAGATGAGCCCAACTTTTGGGACAGACGGGCTACCAGGCTGACAGCCTCAACGCCTCAACTCTAGCAAAGGGTGTGAAAGACGAGGCTCCCTTGATCCACTTTCAGAGTCTGGAGATCGTCCATGACCTGGCCTTGGGTAATGTTAGGACAGCCAGCACAAGGCTATCAAGGTGAAACAACTGGTGAACAGCAAACGGAAAGGTTGTTGATGTGCGGCCAAGCGGCAATGTATAACAGAGTAGTCTTGGTTTGAACCCAGTTGTGTGAGATATCTGCCCCGGTGCATGTCCAAAGCAAAGTCTTGGAACATCTTCAGCAGAGTCTCCCTCTCCTGCTGCTCCCGCTCCCCGCTTCCGAAACTCCCGTCTTCTGCCATGAAGTCTTTCGGTAGGGATGGGTATCTGAGCAGCTTGGGAAGCTGGACCGCCTCTTTGAAGCAGTGCTGACGTGGGGTCATGACGCTGGGCTGCGGAGCGCGCTTGTTGCGGCTGGGCCCAAGCGTCGTGTCGATAGTGTCGTGCTCTCCCAGGTCGTGTGATGGCTTTGGCAAATGACCTTCTGGAACGTCACTGCGGAGGTGGACGACCTTCGTCTCGCCAACTGTGGAAGTGTGATTGCTTTGCACGTAGCAAAACGGAAAGAGCGAGAGGAGACTCCAGAGTCCAGAATCCTCATCTGTGCTCTCTGGCGACCTCTCGGCGAAGCCAGAACTTGCCATGCCAGCGGCAAGGCTCCCTACATGTGTACTTTCTAGACCTGGAGCCTTCCCTGTTTTTGGCTCAGACTTGCTTTGGTTGTACAGGATACATGCATAAACGGCAGCATTATCCGCGTGATCTGTGCGAGCCACCTGTTTGCAAAAGGAATACGTTAGGACATCGACCCTCCTACACTTGACGTTAGCCTGAGGGCAGGCATTCGGAGCAGCGGCTGACTCAAATTGCACTTTAGTGCCAGGAATGGACGTTCAGCTCTGTTCACTCATCACTCCTCATAACAATAAATACATTGAAATACCTGGAAAATTCACGGAAATATATAGAAAGAGCACTGAAAGAGCTCACTCCCACACAGGTCCCTCCCCGCTGAGGCCCCTGCGAGTTGGCGTCCATAAACCCAAGCTGCAGCTGAAAGTTTTTCGGGGCCGTCAGAACCTGAAGCTGTCGCACTGCCTACTGAGCTCACAGTACAGAAGCGGCCGAGCGCATCGGATGAAAGTTTGGTTCACCTATGGGTCATAGAATGCCATAGAAATTTCTGAGGCAATGGACCAACTTGTCCTGAAGCCAAACATTTGCAGGCATGACAAAGTCAATGACCTTCAGCTGACAGGGTCATAGGGAGCTGGGACCGTGCACATTCGCTGCATGGAAGGGTTACCAAACAGGAGCCCCGCGAAATTGGGGATGAACTCCTCGCCTGCAGTCACCTGGCAAAAAAAAAATCGCACGGGGTTGACTAAGACATGATGCGTATTACTGAAAAATCTGGGCTAGATTGGGCCATTCGAATGCGGCTGAGGCACTGCTGGAACAATGGTCTGCGTGAACCTTATTGCAGTTGATCAAGGTCAAGGTCAATGCCGAAATGCAGGTGGGGAGCATCGCGAAGGCACCCAGGCAGCACTCAAATTCGAATTTGACCTCTCTTGATTCAAGGCAAAGATGCTGGTTGACGCCCCCCGTGTTGCTGTGCTCGAATAGAGTCATCACGCGCCTGACCTGCGAGGCAATCCAGAATGAATGCCAAATCCAATCCCATCAGCACATGCTGCAGCGAGGACTCGGTTTCAAGCCTCCCAACCAATGGCGCTGCCAATATCTAGCTCTTGCCCCGCCGATCCGAAGCTTTCCAGCATCCAGGCCTCAAAATCACATGTCCAGTCCGGCAGATATGAGACGTACCGCAGGCAGCTTTGCTTGGGAGGTGTTTGCATCGCCGCTTGATTGGCTGCAAGCTTGTATCAAAGGACTGCCACTGTGAATTCTTAGATCTTAGGCGTCTAGGCTTTGCAAACGCACACTCGCAGCATGAGATGGGGCATCAAATGGGCATAAGCCACGTAGATCATATAGACACGCGCAAAGAAGCGGACCGCAGAGCAGACAGGCGTTCGTGCCTCTGCCGGGCGAAAGGTCATCGGAGGGTGGATCCAGAAGTAGAGGACGAAGGTGGCATCAGGCCGGAACGCCTGTCACCAGTGCGTGAGCGTCTCCCAAATTTGCCGGGTATGCAATCAACATCAAAATGTGGACGTCTTGGCACTGCTTCTAGGCATCTTTTCCTGCCTTTGGAGGTCTGAGATCAGCGGGGTTGAACTGGTAGCGCACGATGATGCGGACCTTGGCTAGCCTTCCCTGGAACCTGTTTTTGGCCTGCGCATGCCTGACCTTCATCTGTTCCTTTGCAGAACAGCCGTGCTGCACTTTCAGGACCGAACAAGATGCAGGCAAGCTGCCGTCCGAGTATCGCCAGTTCCGGTTCCATCAAGTGGATTGCCTCTATCCACAATGACACAATCCCTCTCCTTGGCTGGTCAAGGCCATATGCCCCAGAGAGCGGACCGAACTGAAAGGGAACCAACATCATGAAGCCTTACTCGGATCATTCGGATCACTGCTTCTGGACCGAGCATCTGCCATCCGCCAGGTGTATGGTATTGCCGACATGTTGTGGTTGTCGTATTCGCGGATCTGGCAAGGTGTTTGCTTGTCTCCCTCGATGAGAGGCGCTGTTGGTGTGGGGTCGAAGCCAAACTCCAGGGGAGCTGTGATGTGGATTTGCCCATTAGTGGAAACCACGTTCTGCGTCCTGAGCGTGATCTTGACTGGGATTGCCACACCGGCCCCGGCCCCCACGCAATCTCCCAGGTAACAACTGGGAGCAGAGTTGCGAGCATAGGTGGACAACGTAATCTCAGGGAAGGCCCAGAGATTGAAGGAGGGGATGGGCTCTGCGAAGTGATCCAGAAGTGTCATAGTCCAAAAGTTGGATGCCGTCTGCACCGCCGGGTTTACAATGTCGATGCGGAACCTCGGGATGCACCGGACCTGCAAATGCCTCAGTCTGTGTCCATGCTATTGTGAAAGCTCAGGGAGGCACGCGTAGACAAAGGAGGCGATGAGCCCAGGAGACTGCCAGGATCCATGGTACATGTGAAAACCCATGAATGTCACAGGGGCTCCAAGGAGAGCACGAGTGAGATCAGGGCAGTCTCTCCATTTCCCTCACACCCGGTCACCTGGCAAATGCTTCGCCTTCTCAGCGTGAGAACTGACTGTCTTGCAGACTGCACACGTCGAAGAACAAACAGGCTGCCAGCACGGGCGCGTTTGGATCCCATTCATTCACCTGGCGAGGTGGCACGTACACATCCGAGAACTGCTCAAGGAGGTACGAGCTCCGATGCTATTTGTCAAGGTAATGCCAGCAGGACTCCCAGCTGAGTAGCATTGAAAATGCTTCCGAAGAGGTTCACGACTCGAGTCCTACAAGCATGACCGACAGCGTCGTAGATGCAGATTGATTTATACCGCTTGCTTCAGTTTGGTCCCTTTGCTGTTGGATGTGAACCACGTGAAATCCAAGGCTGCGGCTCGACAAGGTGGTAGCAGCGGGTGGGGATTTTCTTAGTCGAGTGTATGGTAATTCTGAGACATCCATGGAGGACTGATCTTGCTATACAGCTTGGTGAAGCCAGGCTACTTGCTTTGAGGCATGGCAACACATCTCAGTTTCGAGCCGTTCCAGGTGGCCCAACTAGCTCGATCTGCCCAGCGGGCATCATGTCCTGCAACAGCAGAATCAAGTTCACATTTCTACTCTAAACTCAGGAAAGCCACAACTCCAAAGACTCCAATCACTACGTGAAACAAACACCCAGTCCCCTGGGCGGTAGGGGCCATTTGTACCCAGGCTGAAGTGGAAGATCAACCTTGCCAAGCAATGCAAGTGCCTGCCAAGACCGTCGAAGACGCAAAGCCGCAGGGAGCGACAGAGAGAGAGAGCGAGAGAGAAAGAGAGAGGAAAGGGATAGACTCGACAGAGCAGGGAAGACATCCCAGGACTCGCGCTCGTTGAAAGCTGTGGAGGGCTCAAAGAGTGCTGAGCCTGAGGTCTTTGCTTGCTGTTCTTGTTCGGGCGGTCGTTTCGACCAGGTGGCCAGATCTGCATGATCCTGCAGCAAAGACAGCAAACGATGGCGGACATACTCTCCTGCGAAAGAAGCCAAGGCTGCAGCCCTCCCAGAGCCATTTCCTCAGCAAATCCTCCCTTTAGGCTGAAAATTGTGACACCGTGACCGCCACCAAGCACAATATTGCACGAGCATCACTTGGGCAAACTGCGCATCAAAGCGTGCTTGCCGCATGCAACGGCGCTCACTGCAGGGCCCCCACGAAAGGCGGTGGTTCCGAGGCCACCGTTTGCGGAGCATCAATCAGAGCTCCTGCAGACCTTGAAAAATTGCTGGCAGATCTTCAGCACGAGGTTGGTTGTGAGATGGTGTGGCTGCAGGATGGCCGACTTATCCCGTAATCATCCGCCGAAGCTTGGAACACGCACGCATTGCAAAGCGAACCCCTCCTCATTGCCGCACACAACTAGAGAAACGTAGCTGAATGCTAGAACACAGAGTGGTGCAAACGCAAGCTGGCAGCAATCGTACCGAATTGTGTCGTCAGCTTTTCATCCTTAATGGGCATAGTTGCCACATTATAAATGCTTGCTTGTTCGCCCAAGGGACTAAGATGCCAAGTGCGATACACAACCCTTGCCTGTGCTGCATATGTCCTCCAGTTTGTCGAAGACTGCTGAGCAAGGGCTCTGGCGTTAAAGTCTGGAATCTCCAACAGGCCGGACCGCAAATTCGCGCCCTGATAGCACATGCACGACAGCTTATGCAACACAGGACGGTAGCTGCGCAACACGCGCATGTGCGCATCAAATGAACCTTGTGACAGCAAGTACTGTCAATGGGGCCAGTGCCCAGGAGCGGGCTCGTTCTCCAGGTAGAAGGATGACAGCTCTGCTGGCGGATTGATTATCTTAGCAAGCTCGTGCTAAAAGACTGTCTTCGCTCGAGATCCACAAAGTAGTTAAGGGCGCCAACATCAGACCAGATAGAACCCCGCGCATGCAATAGCTCATTATCTCAATGCTGGGCTGCTTGTGTATCACTCGTTGAACTGCTGCAGAGCTCAGATCTGTCATTAATCCGCTGAAGGAAAGCAGACGGTGACACACTGACAGGGCTACTGAGAGCACAGCATCGATGCGGAACTGCACGAGTCTAAGTGAGCGCCAACGAAGACCAACCGCAAAGCAAATGGCAGCGCCAGGAAAAGATGGCATGACAATCATCCATTGATATTGGCAACTGAACTGCTGAGGAGCTTGCCCAGGCATGAGGGGGAAACTGTCCATGGGTATGATGACGAGCCGGAACACGTCATACTGAACAAGAATTTGCATTAAATGACGCGCATTTTCTGCCAGCCTTGTTGCCCCATAATTTTGGATACCCAAACACCGAATGCAGAAACCGGCATGCACTCTCACGGCACCGCAGAGATGAAGCACAACCTCAGGCCGACTCAGGCCTGCTTCTGCTTGTAGGTGATGGCGCCAAAATCGCGCTGGAAGCTGCACGTTGACAAGCCAATGGGGCTCGTGTCACTGGCACAGAAATGCTGAGAGTCTCCTCTAATCAGAAAAGACAGAGACAAACATGGCGGTGCGAACCTAAATGCCAGCTGGCCAGGCCACGGCCTCGCAACAGCAACACATCTCCTCAAAGCCTGTCCTAGTATGGCCTAGTGTAACATCATCCGACCAACGCAATGTCTATGCAGGACCAAGGCGTCTCCTGCCTCTTGCCACACTGCCCACCTGACAGATTTGCTTCTGTTCACTTGTCTCAGGCGATCGGTTCATAGCTTCTTACTGGGATTTCCTCTACCTTTGCCTTCATGGCATCAATGCACATGGAATAGCTCAATCAATGGCTGAAGTCTCAAATTCAATCTGGAAAGCAATTGCTTTTGAACCCGCAACCGAGAGACTAGCTTGCGTCAACCTTCGACACGATGTAGGATTACCACATCCCGTATACATGTAAAGACAGAACAGCACAACAACAGAATAAGAATTAAAAAACAACCAGCTGTGACACATCCCGCATCCAGCATTTGGGGCACTACTGTGGCCTGGGAGGGGCGAGTAGCCCGGCGGCATAGTGATCTCCAGCAAGGAGGGCAAGACCACTGCTGTGGCGAGACGAAGCTGGCGTCAAGGAAGCCGTTGTTTAAACTTCTCTAAGAGTCATAGGCTCTAGGGGTTTTATAGAGATATAATGGGATAATGGAAAATAAAATGGAAACTACTATTTGAGGTAGCAGCCTCAAGGAAAGTGTGCTACTTTCTGAAGGGGACTCTCATTACCGCGAGCACCTGGTTCAGTCAAATATTCACATCAGCAGCAATTGCTTGTGAAGGCCCACATATTTTCTTGAGGAAATCTTTCTAGATCAGAAGTTTACTTCCTGTTGCAAGCCCTAGCATCCTTGTTAACAGTGGCGCCAGTCGATTCCACAGAATAGCACTTTACCATGAATTTGCACCGGGAAAATCCAAAACGTATCAGTTTTCACACATTGTAGTATAGGTTTTCCTACATGCAAAGTGAACAGCTCACGCTGCATATAGCGGCACGTGAACGCTGCATGTTGACAGCAGTTTGCGCATAGGCTCTGTAGATGACAACGGTGGGATTTGCTGTTGAGATCTTCGTCTTCAGACTACCATTGGTATTAAGCATGCAAAAGGCAGGTCATGCTGGTCTTTGATCATCAGACTGCGCAGACTGTCCGCACAAGACTACTGCATCTCGGATAAGGGAGGCGCTTCCTCGAATTCTCTGCGCACGTACGTACGAAACGGAGAACAACACATGCCAGGCATGGTCTTTGCATGAGAGCTTGGGCATCCCAATACTTGACAAGGAAAACAAGGGCTTGCGGCTAAAGATTCCCCACAAGGCCAGCTGCAACAGGAAGGTACAACATAGGCAAAGAACTATCTGCAGCAGCTTTCATGCAGCAAGGGCACCCATCGTGAACAGAGACCCTTCTGCTGCATATGGCAACACCCAACTTTTTGCCGTGGACCTCCGCTATCTTCTAATGTGCACCCTGAAAGCAACATGTGGTCGTTGCAATCCATATGATTTGGCGGCCTTCAGCATCAGCTCAGCCGTCGTTCCCGGTAACTTGTTGGAGGACTAGGCTTTCAGACGTTGAGCCCTTGCACTACTAAAACAGTGTGCATCTTTCACATCATCGCATGGAAAGTACATGCAAGTAGTCGCTGTTGGATCCGGACCCTTGCCATCGAGTCCACGATGGCCCGTACGGGATCAGCAAAGACCTTTGCAAGCGTTGCACATGTTTTCAAGCAACATGTTGTCCGCCAAGCAACCACCAGTTTAGCAATAATGACAAAACAGAAAGCTGCACAGGCGAGTCCTTCAGTGCCAGCATGCTTCGCATCTCAATCACAGAAAGCATCTGTGCAGGCGTCTGAGGCTTGAACTACGGAGCTTATGCCTTCTGGCATTGAAGGACCTGAGGGTTGGAGAACCAGAGTAGTTTTCATTCATAAGCCCTGTTAAGTGAACGGTTCCGCTGGCTCGCTCCGACTTGAAACTTTGCATTCTCAAACCAGCCCTTTGCGGGAAGTAAAGTATGATTCTGACGCTAAGCTCATGTGCAACAATAGTCATGCTTTAAACGCTGATTTTTTTAAACTAGGCTGGCTTGGTACCCCTGGTTCGGAAACTGCGGGATCTGCCGGATTTCTTGCTCCTACAAGAAGCTTCTGAATCGAGCCTCTCTCTCAAGAATCGAAGGTTCTGAAGCAGTGAGGTTTCTGAATGGATCTGAATGGGGGAATGGTCAGCTCTTGCTTGTGAAAGAAGAGCTGGGCGCCAAGCCAAGCGGATCTGCGACCAAGAGGCTGATGTAAAACCTGACCACCCCCCGTGAACTTTTTACAGAAGCATCTTGTTTGCTTTACAGAGCGAATTGTGGGTACGCCAAACGAAGCCCAAGTTTTAGCCCAAGCGGCGCTGACAAGCTTGTGACAGGACCAACATCGGGCACGTAAATGGGCGCCTCATGGAAAAAACTGATTCTTACTGTGCAGCTTGCAGACAAATCAGGCCGAAATGAATAACGCTACGGTCACAGCAGACACGCAGCCCGATTTCGACGCAAGATTAGCTGGCACGTGAGCATTGTCTTTTTTAAGGTTAAAGTCCTTATACTAAGATTGACTGCCTACGCGAACTACGCGGATGGCCGTTTTCCCTGCATAACAGACTACGCGAACACACTCTTA